CGCAAGGTGTGTATGTGGTCTATGGTACTGAAGCCTTTTCGGGATCCGGCTTGTTCGGGAGGCTGGAAGTCGTCGAGTCTGGAAGCGAGACGATTCAAGATGACTCTTGAGAACAGCACATAGACGCGGCTCAGAAGGGATATCGGTCTATAGTTCTTCAAGAGAGCATTATCGCCTTTCTTGAAGAACAGCACCACCACACTTCTGCTCCACGCCTCTGGTGTAGCACCACCCTGAAGGACGGAATTAAAGAGCCTCTGAAGGACTACAAGTACCGGTTCTCCACCCGCTTTCAGAAGCTCTGCTGTAATTCCGTCCTCTCCCGATGCCTTGCCATTCTTAAGCTGGTCAAGAGCCATTCTAATCTCGCTCAGACTGACGTCCGGGATATTCTCGGAATAGTGTCGGATAAGCTTTGCTCTTGGGTCGTTACTCACACATGTGTGTGGCTCCAACGACGATGTGTACAGCTGTCCATAGAACCTCTCAATCTCACTCAAAACCTCTGGTCTACTGGAGATGATAGCTCCGCTGTCAGTCTTCAACTTAGTCAGTTGGCTTTGTCCGATAGACAGATCTCTGGCGAAGACTTTTGAGCCTAGGTTCCGCTCTATAGCTCCCTCAATACGGGCTGTATTGAAGTTGCGTAAGTCTCGCCGCATGTATTTGGAGATCTGCCTATTAAGCCGCCTGTAGTCTGACATATCAGTTAAAGACTGCAGCCGCATCTCACGTCTTTTTCCCAAGAGGTTAAGAGTGTGATCGGAGAGTTTTTGCGTTCTATTTGTCCGGCGGGCCTTATAAAATTTAAGGCCCACGGCATGGACAGTTTCCACGAGCTTAGCGTTAATATCGTCCACCGTGCTGCAATTTTCTAGGCATTGGAAGCGATTATGTAGCTCGAGCTGAAAGCTTTCGGAGTTCTGGATATGGGCACGAGATGGTCGGAGTGTAGACTTCATTAGACGAGATCTTTCCAGCCTGATGTTAATATTCAATGTGCCTCTCACCAATCGGTGATCACTGCCGGTCTTCACCCTTGTGATCACAGAGACATCATTGAATATTTGCCGTTTGTTCGTCATAATGAAGTCTATCTCGTTTTTTACAGAACTATCGGGGCTAGTCCAGGTCCACTTTATGTGGGGCTGCTTTTTGAAGAAGGAGTTCATCATAAAGAGTCCCTCCTTCTCCATAAAGTCAGCCAGCTGCTGCCCCCTTGGGTTCCGTTGCCCTATTCCAAAACTACCTACTCTCAGCTCATCGTCTTTCCTTTTGCCTAGTTTTGCGTTGAAGTCTCCCATTAACACCATGTACTGAGTTTTGGAGGAATGTATGGCTCGTGATATATCCTCATACATTGCCTCCACCTCATCATCGGGATGTGTCGACGTTGGTGCGTAAACCTGTATGACCTTCAGCGAATACCGTTTGGATATTCTGAGTATAAGGTACGCAACCCTCGACGACACACCCTCGATTTTAACATCGTTGTTAATGAGAGACTTGTGGACGATAAATCCGACACCTCCTCGGGACAGTTGGTCGCCCTCCCGGTGGTAAAACAGGTTGCCGGATTCGAGGATTATGGTGTCCTCCCCCTGTCTTCGGACTTCAGATAATCCTATTATATCCCAATGCAGCCTGTTCACCTCTTCTTCCAGCTCTGTAATCTTCTCGTCAGTTCTCAATGTTCTTGCGTTGTATGTTGCCAGGTCCAGTCGCCGCCTTACATTATATGATATATATAGGTGAATATTACGATGTCTATGATATGTGTACATATAGGTGAATGTGATGGATGATATATAACGCATGATATGGAAAGAGAGCAGTCTATAGAATTTAGTTTAAAAAAAATTGCCCTTACTTTAAGATAACATTATCCCGTGTTGTAAGGAGTAAGGACGTTTTACAAACATAACACGTGAACCAACAATCCAGTTGCGAAACAACTATCCGCGAGCCACCCAAATAGTTGTTCCGTGTGGAAGATCGATTCCACGACCCCCGACGCCGAAGCCAATACCTTGGCAACTGCGCCACGGTATCATCATAATACAAAAGTCATGAGACTGGCAAACTAATGACACCAAACGGCGTAATTTGAGTGCCTCAGTTTCCGTGCGTCATGTCTACTTCGTATTTGTATACAGCGTGTCTTTACAATCGCAACAATAAATTAATACACATGTAGAGGATGCTTTTTTTAAATTGTATTAAACATTTACTTTCTTTAAACATCATATTTACAGAGTTATTAAATTTTCCAAAACAAAAAATTTTAGAACACCCTTACGTATAAAACTGTAACGTAAAGTTCATTTGTGAAGGTCACAAAGCATATGAATGGGTTGAATGAATTTAAAAGAGACAAAACATACTATTAGAAGGAGAGGCTTGTAATGCGACGCTATGGCAACGAATGAAAAAGTCTCTGAATGTATGAATCAGTCAGTCGTAGTTGTATAAGTTGTTATAAATTTTGTTTCTTTTTTACTTAATTAGTTTCTTTAAAAATATTTTTTTTAATTATGGAATTTTTTAACGGTAATATTTTTTATGATTATGGGCAAGTAGCGTTAGACGTGTGTTCATTTATTGTCGCGATGGTAACGACACTAACGACTATAAAATTTTACACTTTATAGGGTTGTACCGAACTCCGTTAACTTGTAGGTGACAATTCCTCCCTCAGTAGGTGAACGCACAAACATGCGCGGCCCTTACAATGCCAAAGTCCGTATCAAACTAATGGAACGTAAAGTTTTATCCCGTGTGCCAGTAAACTTTGTTTGTGAAAGAGACATTAATGCAATTGGTAACGGTTTAACTAATAACTTGTAATTATAGGTTAATGTCAATAAGTTATTATTGGTTGCCATGGTGATACCGTGAAGTTGGTAGCGTTGCAATAAACTTAAAACGCGCCAAAATTAAAAGTTAACGCGCGAAAATAAAAAAATTAAGGCGTCAAAAATTAAACGCGCCAAAAGAAGTCACCATTACCACCCTGCCTTTTCCTATGTAGAGGTTGGATCGGGACGAATAATAGTTTTAAGTACAAATTTTATAAAAGAAAACTAATTACAATTAAATTTGGATTGGATAAAGTTTATAAATCGGATGAACAATGTATAATTTAATTTTTTTCTGACAGAAGATCAACGTCATGTGGAAGTATTACACTCTGAAGTGGAAATATTATCTGGTGATGATGAGATAAATGAGGTCCAAGTGTTTTAAAGGCTGGCAACGCAACTGCAGGAGGTAATGCGGCCAGAGCGAAAACTAAATCATTTTTTTTAAGAAGATTGATTACATCCGATTTTTTTACGTATAAGATTACAAGGTTGACTGCAACGAAAAAATCCATAACATAGACAATCGCAGTCGTGTTTACAGTTTTAGAAAAACAAAGTTAAATACGTTTTTTGTCGATATTCATTTCTTCATACATTACGAATGTTCGGCCGAATAGTCGTATTCGGTATAAATTCATACGCTGTTCCTTTGTTCTTTCATATTGCCCCACATGGTATACTCTGGGTCGCCTGAACAACAGCCCAAAGCCAAAACTAAATTTTATACCAAACTTACGAGTGGTTGTCCAGACCCAAAGTCTAGTGATGGGGGACGGTGGCTGGATTAGATTTAGTCCGTTGTTTCTTATTTTCGAACGACGGTAAAATATTATTTAAATTAACTACCTACTTTACTTGCTTTACTTGGTATCATATCATTGATACTGTCTACATGGTGCCTTGCAATTACGTATGAAACTATTTTTAACCGAACGATCGTCCGAATATTCGTATTCGGTTAAACCCATATTAGACGCATCTCTATTTAAATCAAAAAAGAAGCTGAATCAATTGCGAAATCTAATTTACAAATAAATATATAAATTTTATAATTCTGCGGTCCCCGGGTAGGTGTCGTAGCAAAGGTATAAAAATCATAGATAATTATTATTACACCTACATTTGCCGAAACACTTCCCCACACCCTTACGGAATTAACCGCCAAAAATATATGATACTAGCTTTTCGCCCGCAGCTTCGCTCGCGTTGAAGCCCTTAAATAAATATCTTTCTTTAACCTTTCATCCATTTACAACACTTTTTTCCAATTAAAAAATAGCCTATGTCCTTTCTCAGGCTCTAAACTGTTCTTTTGACTGTTTCTCAGGCTCTAGTGTACCAAATATCATTTAAATCGGTTCAGTAGTTTTGGCGTGAAAGCGAGACAGACAGACAGTTACTTTCGCATTTATAATATTAGTATGGATTACAGGAAATGCATATTATGTAATTGTTTATGTGATAAAGTGGCAAACGAGCTAATCACCTGATGTTGAGTGACAACCGCCGCCCATGGACATTTGCAACACTCAGGGCCAGATTTAGAGGTTTGAAGGCCTCGGGGCAACAAAGGAGTGGAGGCCCCTTGGCCCCAAATTATTTTCCAAATAAAATAATTTTTTTCAGTAGAGTTTTCCAATAAATAAATTATTGTGAAACCAAGTATAGATTTTTTCATTATTTTAAAGAACATATAAATATAATCGCAAACAAGAATTATCTAAAATAGTTGTTTAGTATAGTTTACTAGTCTGATTTTTTTTTCCGAAGTCTCTATTGTGAGTATTGTCTTTAGTGGAGGCCCCGGGGTTGTAGCCCCAGTTTATAATCATTTTGTGAATGTCTATTGTAGACATGCAATGAATTGTGCAATTTTATTACTTTATTCATAAAACTACACTACTTGTAAAAGTACAATTCAGCCTAAACAAAACTACCGAATAAGCAGCGAATAAGGATTTTACCCGTATTGTGGCCAGTTATGACAATATAGGCATCAAAAATTATAATAATACTTATTCTAAGTACACACAAAATCGCGTTTGTTATGGAGATTGGAGTCTGCGCAGAAAAAAATCACCACATCCTATTAAACAGTTAACGTCTGGAAATAAGCAAAAATATCATATTATTTACCTTTATTTTATCGTATGTGTTATCTAATTCCAATTTGTGAACGAAAGGGTTCAATATTTCGGCGCGCATGTCGTCAGATGAGAAAGCGCCGGTTTCACTATGCATTTTATCATTCATTTTCACGAGACCACAATTGCAAGATAAATTATAAAATAATTTTATAACTTTACACCATAATTCATTATTTTTTAAATAACATTTTACTTAAGGTCCAGGTAGAAACTTATTTTACGTGCTATTTTAGCGAAAATGATCACGACAAGTTTAACTAACACTCTCCTCAATAGATAGTTCAAGACTGAATTTCGCCTCCTTTTTTACATTTTTGTATACCAAATGTGACGTTTAGTGGAGGAAACGCACAGATAATAGAGAAACAATATGACAGATTTTCTTACGACTTTTATTTGCTTAGAAATTTAATTAGTTTTCTTATTCCAACTAGTTTTTTTTTTTTTTAGGCCAATTTTACCTAGGATGCTGTGCGTACAGCATCTTTAAGAAGTAAAGAGCAAGATTAAAAAATAAGGTGTAAATTAATCATGTTTGCACTTAATATAATTATAAGTTTATAACTGTAAAAAATATCTTCGCATTCAAAAACAAGAATTAAAATAAAAAGGAATAATTGCTCCCAGGTGCAATATGAAGCAAAAATCTTAGTCTCTGGTATCATATCAATCACAAGTACAGTACTGTGAATTATAAATTTATAATTAATAATTATAATAGTATATCATAACTCGTAGTGATTGATTGATGTAGTATTTACATTTACACTTTTGACTTCATCGCGCTAAAGTTCTATTTGGTATGGAGTTTTTGCCAATTTGTACTGCCGTTGTTGAATATCATATCGATTGACGATTTGTGTAGGTCTGTGGGCATTTTATCTTTACTTGGGCGATAATAAAATGCTTTATTTCGTGTATAATGGAAACTAAAGTGCAAAAACAAATTATTGACTATTTTTCAACATTCGAAGAGTTTCATAATACATCAAAAGCGTGTTTGAAAGCTTGCCAAAACTGCGCAATATCTATTAATAAACTAGTTCGGCGTTGTAACAACATTAAACAGTAAGATCACCTTATTTTTAAAGTTTATTACTTTTTGTAGAAACTAACCTATATTTCTTTTTAGCGCTGAATTATCGGGTACGCCATTGGATCGATTTGATGATCTTCAAAACAGACTGTCTACAGCTTTAAATAACCTCATTTCAGAAGAAATTCAAGAAATTAGAAATCAAGCGTAAGTATTTGAAATAACCCTAGAACGTACATAGTTGAAACTAGAATTACACTTGGTTGTAATATAGTTCAATCTGATAACAAATATAAGTATGAAATGTAAAACCACGGAAATAAATGGTGTACTTCATGTAATAATTTTATTTTAAAGAAAACGACAGCATTTGCAATATGCAGATTATAATATATTTCAATCTTGCTTTCATTTTAATTTTGATTATTAATTAGTTATGATTATTATTTCAAACGTGTAGCACTGCACAATAAAATTTGTTTATCTTGCCCCACTTTATGTTGTTTCAAAAATATCTCCATTGCGATTTCATGTCTTTTCTTTAACAAATATAACCAATTGTTTCAGATTGATTATAGAACCATTGTTTGAAAAATTGTGTCACAAATGCAACATTCTTAAAGACAACTGCAGGGACATTGATTTTACAGAACTGACCCCACTTGTTAGAGGAACTCCACTTCAGCCTCCTTTGAAGCAAGTGTTGCAATTTGTTGATGATTCCGTTACATATGGAAGTCTCTTTGGTGCACTCATAGAGTCAACTTTGAACATTTTTGCATTAAAAGGTTCCAATAGTGAGTCCCAAGCAGATAATTTTAAAATACCATTGAAGTGGCAAAATAGGGTTGCAGAAATTTTGGCCTATATATCATTCTGCTCTGAAAATCACATTTAGTAGTATGGATTTCCTTGACTCTATCTTAAATTCCATGCAAAAACCTCCAACTGCAAGTGAGGCACAAAAAAATGCTCTCAAGAAACAAAAAGAAGCTTTAGAAAGGAAGCAAAAAGAAGAAAAAAATATGTTAAATAGGTTTAAAAAAAGAGTAGAGGAGAAAATAAGCAACTTTATAAAAGATGGCACCAAACCATATTTACAATTTGAACCAATGGAACAAACATACAGAACTATTATAAGAGATGTGGGGGAGACGGCAGGAGTTCAAGTATTCTCTTTTGGGCAGGAAGGCATTGATCGCTATTCCATAATTTATACCAAAGATCGGGGACCATCTGAGGATGAGCTGACTGTTCGGAGGGCTGGTGGAGTTTGGAGTGAGGACAAAGCTGCTGAAATGGCCCTGAGACATATAGAAATGGCAGAAACAAGCAGCCTTAGAAAATGAAGAAGAGAAAAATAGAAAAAGAAAGCATGGCAAAGAACAATTAAGTGGGACATTCTACAAGCAGAAATATGCACACCTTATTGGTGAAGAGGCTGCTTTGGATGCTGCGCACAAAACAAATGTTAATAAGAGCTATGGTGAAGTGCCCAGTGAGAATAAGAAAGACCAACGATCTATAGAACAAACTATGGCAGACATTAGAGCAAAAAAAATGAGAAAGGCTGTGATAGACAAGGAAGCTTTAGAGAGTAACTCTCAAACATAGTTTTTGTTTCATATCCATATCTCAAATGACAGATTAAAACACATTGAAAGTGCTGTTGAGTTATGAGATTACTTATCACCAACTCAACATAACTATGAAGCAATATTTTTTATCACTTCTAAGTATTAGATTTCTATAAAACTATGTGTTGGAACATTTTTCGACAGAAACTAACTAATGGAGCATAGTTTTGTTTCTACATTAGGTGATAACCAGCGAAGTTTAGAGTACCTGGTGAATTTAATGTATTATATGTTCAGTACAAAATTAAGTCATATTTGTCTACAAAACAATAAAATTGTTTATGGTATTTTACTGCCGGGTTCAATATTCTATGTACAGACAGATTTGGTTACTGTAGATAGTGTTTTGACATAAGTATTACGGAGCTAATGGCAAATACCTAGCGCTAGTAATCAAATCGTTTTTAACCAGCCATTAATCTACACATTGTATGTGTTTATGTTCTTCATAAAACAATATATATAGAACACAACCAGAAAGATTAAAACTAAATAAAATTGCCATTCTAATATAGTTGCTGGGACTGCCACATTGTAGCCATATATGTGGAGGTCACCACATTGGATATGCTCGTATGCATTTTAAATCAAACCATGGGTTAGTGTAGAATTTAATTTTACTTATTTAAGTTGACTTCAGTGTTCATATTTCATAGTTTCCTTTTTAGAAGACATCATATCATGTGGTGATGTTTGTGTTTAAATGTTTATCTATCTTTTAGTGTTTCTTCTAACATTTTGGTAGAAATAAGGGTATATGACAGTTCTTGTTACTTTGAACAGTGTTTGATGAAGACTGGCCCACCTACTTTAGCTTAGTTATTTCAAGAAATGTGTTATTAATTGTAAACCATGTTTCTACAAATAAAGACTGCTATGACTCATATTGTTTACATGTTTGGATTATTTTCCATTTAATTGTAATTTAGGATAAATATTCTTGATTACTTATTGATGGTCAAAACGCTACCACCGGTTTGGAAGAATAGCCACTGACCTGAGAAGAACCGGCGAAAGAAACTCAGCAGGACTTTTTTTTTATAACATTATTTATCAACTTGAAAGAACCTGGAGCTATCACTTCATTTCCAGGGTGTGTTATCATTTAAATAATCACAAACATTATAATAGCCTTTAACACACAAATGTTCCTTTACAATTTTTTTGAATTTAGAAATTGATACGTTTTGATGGTTTTCTGGGATTCTGTTGTAAAAACGTATACATTGTCCCATAAAAGAATTAGTTATTCTACACAGTCTGTATCTGTATTTATATAATGCACATTTGCATGTCTTGACAATTCATTTTTGTTTTTATGGACATACATAATATTTTCTAGTATGTACTGAGAAGCAACAGTCAATATTTTAATCTCTGAACAAATTTCTTAGTGATTCTTGGGGGCCCAGGTTATAAACTGCTTGAATAGCTCTCTTTTGGAGGACAATGAGAGTATTAATATATAACGACGTTAAAGTAGAATGCCATAAGACATTATACTGTGGAAATAACTAAAATATACTAGACGAGCAGTATCTACATCAGTCAGAAGTCCCTCGAATGGGCAGGCTCGTCCGGGTAAGTACCACGACCTCACAGAAGACCGGCGTAAAGTGGAAGTATAATACTTTCGCGTTTCGTCTGGTGAGTGAGGTAGTCGGAGCCCAATTTCCAAAAAGGTCAACGCATCTATAAACCCTCGGGTGTAGCAAATGTCCATGGGCGGCGGTATTCACCAAATTTCCCTATATACCAAAGTACTCTGTGGTATTCACTTAACATCTGGTGAACCATCTGCTCGTTTGGCACCTTTTCACATAAAAAAAAATATAGCTCAAATAAAAAATCACAAAATGAGTCATACATGTAGGAGTTTATTTTATGTTACTGGCCGCTTAGTCTTTTAATTAGAAACATTTTAAAAAAGCATCCATAGCTTGTTCTTTTTTGAAATTGGAGAATTACAGTTCTTTCTTTATTATTCATCTGAATTTTTTAAAAAAAATGAGAAATAATTGTTAATTTACATATAGATCATAAGTTGGCATTCAGAAAAATAGCTGAGCATTTAAATTGTTCTATTAAGAAAGTTTTAATGCAATTGACAGTGGCGGATTTGCCGTAAGGCCCAGTAGGCCCAGGCCTAGGGCGGCCAATTGAGAAAAAAATTCACTGATGATAATCAGAGATAACTCAAAGTATTTAAATATTCTAAAGGATTGCACACGTTATGGCGGGTCGCACTGCACCGCATCGTTTAACAATAATCTTCCTAAATCACTTCTGTATATTATGTACAAAACATAGAGATGTTACGTAATATGTAGATTTGTAAAGCAAAGCTGGCTTAACAATAGATGCGCCAAACCTTGCTCGAAATGCGAATAAACAATGTAGGTAAAAGGCGTTGAGATTTTTCTCAGTGTGGCAATCGGTCGTTTAGCTTCGTGGTTAAAGCGTCTGGGTGCGAATCGCGAAGACATGGGCTCTTTCTTGCAGCGGCGAAAAACTTTTCGTCCCTTTTTCTACAACGTTTAACAATGTAAAATATTTATAATATATTATTTTGTGTGAGTATAAGTCTGTAGTAACATAAATAAAATGTAAAACTGTTTAAAAGTCCTATTTATAGGAGCAAATATCTCTGAAACATCGGAAAACATTACAAGCTAACTAGAGCTTGCTGAATTTATTTCGATAAAAGTTAAAAAAAAATCAATATGTAGTCTATATTTTGAGTGCTGAGAAAGGGGCGGCTGGTAATTACTCAAATCAAATCAAATGAAAAACATTAATTCAATGTAGAAGCATTACACTTATTTATTGATTGTCATGAACTTTTCTGTTCGAACCGCTACCACCGGTTCGAACAGAAAAGCCACTGACCTGAGAAGAAACGGCGAAACTACTACATGACCTGGGGGCTAGGGCGGCCAAGACTGAAAATCCGCCACTGGTAATTGATCAGTACATAACACATGGAACTGTTGAAAATGTTCTTAGAAAGGCTTGGTCAAGAAAAACCTCTCCCAGAGAAGATATACTATTCGTTCGTGTTACTAAAAAAAGAACCCAAGTAAAGGCTCCAACCAGATTAAAAATGAAGGTTTTTTGATGACCCGAGAAACATCTCATCAAGACTGATACGCCAAAGATTAGTGGAAGCTAAGTTGTTTGGAAGAATCTCTCGAAAGGTACCACTTCAACCAGGCTACACCGAGAGACCGATTATTATTCGCTAAAATATGTTAATTGGACGGTACTAGAATGGAAAAAAAAGTGTTATTTTCAGATGAAAGAAAAATAAATATGGTAAATTCCAACGGAAAGCGCTATGTTAGACGTCCTGCAAACAATGCTTTGAATTATAAATACACATCTAATTATTATTGTTTTAAATGATTGTTGTGTACGTCAGTCTGTTTTATGTCAAATAAATCTCTTTCTTTCTTTCAAGGAGTATAGTCTAGCACGGTGGCGGTAATATTAAAGTTTGGGGGTGTTTTACCAGATGTGGAGTTGGACCCGTTCGGAAGATTGAAGGTACAATGGATCAATGGCAATACTAAAATATCTTAAAGCACACAATTATTCCCTACACGGACAATCATTCGCCTGTAACCTCGATCTTTCAGCATGACAATGACCCTAAACACACGGCCAATAGCGTGAAATGTTTCCTTAGTGAACAGCGTATATCCGTTTTAGACTGACCAACAAATAGTCCGGATTTAAACCCGACAGAAAATATCTGGTATATTGTTAAAAAAAAGTCTCAAACAAACGTAACACCAGTCAAAAGGAACTATAAGCATTTGTTGAATTCAATCCCCCTAGAAAAATGTATGAAATTGATTGAATCAATGCCATGACGCTGCAGTGCTGTTATTGAAAATACGGGATACGCCACTAAATATTAATTATAACTATTGGTAGGCTGTGGATAGAAGATATTTCGAAAATAATACTAATTGATACTACTTAAAAAATATTATTTTTTAAACTTTTTGTTGTTGTTTCTAATTAATTGACTAAAATTGTTCATACCTTAAAACTGATTTAAATGTTTTTCCGTAATGTACCTAATATTGAAACTGAACTTGTGTCATGGGATTTATATTGTTTTTATAATAAATAATAAATCGTTGAACATAATTGTTGTCCTTTTTATTGTTTAATTCCAAAATAAAAACGATTGCAGTGAAGTATCTTACATAATGTCAAGGACCGTTTATAGTGTTTCTAATTATACGACCACCGTTTATACATATTAATACATAAGTACCCGGAGGACCGAGCTTTGCTCGGTTTGTTTTTTTTTGTAAATCGTGTATTTTGGAAATTACATCTAGATGTAAATTACTGAATATGCATAATATTTTTCGATCTTACCGACGTAATAATAAGAAAATATGAACTGATGTTTTTCACAAAAGAAAGAACTTTAAAAAGAAAGGGAAAAAAAATAACAAAATAATAAATCGACAAAAAATTAAAAATAAAGAAAGCAATGATCTGAAATAGAAAAAAAAGTAAAAAAATAAATGTTTAAATGATCGTGACGCGAAACCACGGCCGTCTGTTTTGGGGCCGCCCGATTACCGACCAAGCTATTATGACGTTTTCTCTTGCGGCGAAATTTACCGTCATATTCGAATTATATTTTTCATTCACTGAACAGCGATAAAAGGACATTTTCTAAAAAT